GTCACGAAGAGTTGGACACGACTAAACGACTAAACAACAACAACAAGCAGAAACCTCAGTGACAAGGAGAGAAAGGAGGCTCCAACTCATTTTCACACGGGAAGTGGGGAAAAATCTAGGAGGAATAAAGAAGTCTCGGCAGGCCATCTCCCCAAGAGGAGGTAAAGCAGTGACGCGCTGCTTGTTTTTGATTTAAACCTCTCCCTCACCTGAGGGATCATATGATCACATACAAATGCATGTCGGAAAAGCTTCTTATTTTCGGATGATAAGTCACCCTTGCCAGATGGGAAGTGTTCCCAATGTCTTGGGGATTCTGGCATATGCATCCCCTCCTCCCAAGGAACCTTTTGGTTTGAAGTGGTTCAGCCAGGGTGGTTCAGAGGACTATTCCTCTTGTAACAAGAACACTGTTTCCACCCCACAACATTTATTTTCTCTGATCGGCAGTGTCAAAGCTCCCGTCTTCCTGTAGCATCCTTCCTTAAGAGCTGGAACTGTGGTTCGGCCCTGTGCGTGCAACTCACAGCATCTGTCATTATCTCGTATGGGAATGTTGACCCAAATGTACTCCTACCATGGAGCAAAATGAAGAAACAACCTTCTCTTGCTGGATTAAATTTAAAAATAAGGAGAGGAGGAACCCTTCAGATACACATTGGATGCCATGGTGGAAGAGCTTCACGTGATCAGTCATTGGTTCTTAAGGACCAGGAAGTCACAAGCCTGGGGGGGCAGAAAGCGGGCTTGCCGGTCTCTCTTGCTCTTCATCAGCTCTACGCGGACCAGGAGCAACTCCCCAGACCTTCGGGGAAAAGAACTTTTCCTTGGACCTTCTTGGGAATGTTGGAAATGAGCCACCCATGAAGTGTGGCTGCAAAAAAAAAAAAAGACCAGTGCTGTTTTAGGCTGCATTAACAGAGGGGTAGTCCCCAAATCTGGGGAAGTACTAAGGTAAAGGTTCCCCTTGACATTGAGTCCGGTCGTGTCCAACTCTAGGGGATGGTGCTCATCTCCAAACCGTAGAGCCAGCATTTGTCCGAAGACTGTTTCTGTGGTCACGTGGCCAACGCAACTAGACACGGAACGGTGTTACCTTCCCACCGTAGTAGTACCTATTTATCTACTCACATTTTTACATCCTTTAGAACGGCTAGGTTGGCAGGAGCTGGGACAAGCGACAGGAGCTCCCTCCACCGCATGGATTTGATCTTACAATGGCTGGTCTTCTGACCTTGCAGCCCAGAGGCTTCTGCGGTTTAACCCACAGCGCCACCACGTTCCTAACTGAAGCACTGGTCCCCCTCTATTTGACACAAGTTAGACCTGTGTCCAGTTCTGGATGCTTTACTTCAAGAAGGACACAGACAAACTTGAACCAGTTCAGAGGAGATCAACAAGGATGATCAGGGGGGTGGAAACCAAGCCCTCGGAGGAAAGACGAAAAGAACTGGGCACGTTTTGCCTGGAGAAAAGAAGACCGAGGGGAGATAGGATAGCACTCTTCAAATACCTGAAAGGCTGTCATACATAGGAGGGGCAGCATCTGCTCTCAGTCATTCCAGAGCTCAGAGCATGTTAAATGGGCCCAGGTTACAGGAAGTCAAGATTTAAGCTGAATATCAGGAAAAACTTCTTAACAGTTACCGCACTACAACAATGGAACTGATTACCTCGGGAGATGCCGAGCGCTCCGACACTGGAGGCATTCAAGCAAAAATTGGACAGCCGTCTGCCAGGTCTGCTGTGATTTGGATTCTTGCATTAAGCTGGTCTTACAGGCCCCTTCAAACTCCATTATTCTATGATTTTACGTTGCTTGTGTGCTCTACCACAGGTAAAAATAAAGATTCCGGCCCTCATGGTTCTTGGAGCAATGGGAAGGCTGCTACAGTATCTTTAATTTTTCAGTGCAAAGTATTTGATACCTACAGCCGTGTTTTGCCATCTCCCAAACGAATGCTTAACAAAACATCTATCAAAAGCAAATTGGATAGACCAAACACCGATTGACACAATCTAGTACAGTGGTGCCTTGCTTGACGACGATAATCTGTTCCATTCAAATCGCTGTTAAGCGAAACTGTTGTCAAGCAGAATTTTAAAAACCCATTGAAATCCGTTCAATGCGTTCCAATGGGCGAAATTTCTGCTCGTTTTGCGAAGATCCTCCATAGGGCGGCCATTTTCTGGTGCCTGTAAAGTGAGGAATCCGTGCTAAAAACAGCGGGGAGCCATTCTGCACAGCGGGCAGCCATTTTTAGAGCCACCGATCAGCTGTTTTATAATTGTCGTCTAGCGAAAAATCAGTCCCCATAGGGACATCGTTTTGTGATCGCAATAGCGATTGCAAAAACTTCATCGTAAAGTGGATTCATTGTTTAATGAGGTAATTGTTAAGTGAGGCACCACTGTATTGGAAAAAAAACAGGTAGTCTCACAGTCTTAAGGGTGAACTTCTAACGGACACAGAACCAGTGTCTGGTCCGTCTTATCTTGAGTTGAAACAGTAGGTTTCCATCGTCCAGTATTACGCCAAGGATTCGGTAGAGGCTCTGCAGGGTATTTGAGTCAAGGGAAACGAGCGTCTTTCAGCTCCACTCGGCCATGCACAATAACAGCATTTAGATACAGAAACAAGAAAACAAACCCCAAACCCATCTAGAAAATAACAAACTTTGGGAGGGGGGTGCTTTGTTTTCTGGGACACGGCACAGCAACAAATCGTTCCAACTTCAGAGGCTTTTAGTGGTTTGTTTGATGTTATTTTGGCTTCACTGCTGATCTCTTTCCAGATCTATGAGATTTTTTTTTTTCAGAGTAAGGGGTGGAGGGAGAGGCGCTCCTAAGGTTTTTTCGCCCTTCTCCCTCTTAGATATACAGAGTAGAAAACTGGGTCAAGGGATTGACACAGATCCTTAGACCTCTATATTGGGGGAGGGGGGAGAGCATGCAAATTATGGTCTGCACATACCCTTCCTGCATTTTTGCTCCCCCCCCACCCCAAATTTGGTGCTGCACTGCCAAATTTTGGTAGTCGGTCAGAAATCCTCCTGCTGCATGGAAGCTGAACGCAAAGAACACACACCTTATTTTTCTAGCGGCACTGTACGTCCGGAAGCGCGATTCAGACCGGAAAAAAAACAAAGCGTGTGCTCACCCTATGCTTGTTCCTTCTGTCCAAAACAGAATCTGGGCGATGGAGCAGTTCTGGTAGAAAGACAGGAGGCTAGAACGTGTGAAAGGCAATAGGTGGGCCCTCCTCGGCAGCGGGACAGATCCGAAAATTGAGAGGATTCCTAGAACCCTCCTCTTAGTTAGCCCATTGGGTTCTGCTTCTAAAAAGTCTGGCACAACCGATTCCCTTTTCTCAATAGCCATGGGAAGAGAAGGGGAGGTGAAAGATCTCCAGTTGACAGCCGCTAAACACACCTGCTTGTCAGTTTGGATTCTCAGACGTTGAATTCGAACACATCTTCATGGTCAAGAAAGCCAACAGATTACTTTTTTTACAACGACAGCAGCGATTCTGAGAAAAAGGGAAGATGCTCTGGTCTCTTTCTCCAGAGCTGTGGCACATGCAGATCTTCTCCTATAAAAGTACCCAGGTAGGCTTAATTCCATCCTGTATCTCAGAGGTCCCCAACCTTGGGGCCTCCAGATGTTCTTAGACTTCAGCCTCCAGAAATCCTGGCCAGCAGAGGTGGCGGCGAAGGCTTCTGGGAGTTGTAGTCCAAGAACATCTGGAGGCCCAAGGTTGGGGACCACAGCTGTAGAGCATCTTTTAAAAATTCACCTCTGGCAGAACTGGGCGCTGCAGAAGGAGTGGTTCCCCATCAGGTCGAAGGAGCTTTAAAGCGAGTCTCCAAGGGCCTGCCCAACAGTCTTGGGAAACAACTAGATACACACAAAGGCAATTGATGTTCCCTTTGTTAGCGTGCGGGAACTTCCACTCTTCCCTGCCAATACACTGCCTGGAAGGGAAAAAGCCCCTCAAACTCACGCCACAGAACTATCTTGTGTGGCCGTGCACCTGAGAAGCACCTCAAGAACCCTTTTAAAATAAATCAGCCTAGGGAAAAAGTCTTGGTTGCCAGTTTCCCACAAGGCAGGTCTAAAGAGCACCGATTCTGGCTGCCCCACATCTGGCTCACATCTCATGCTGCAAGCCAGACTCACAGGAGCCCCGAAAGCCGGTTGTTTTTTTATTAACCGCTTAACGTGCACATCTTGTTCATTACCTGGATTTTTTTTCCTATGAGTGAGCGACGGGGCAAGCACAAAACTCTGCCTTGGGTTGGCCTTCTCTGTTCACTCAAGGATGAGTGTGGGTCATGGACCGTGTGGTCCCTTATGAATGGCTGCTTCCACTTTGTATTTGCACAAGCAAAGGTAGCGCACCCCGACTTCCCAACTTCACACCCTGGAAAGCTGAGTTACGTTGGCCAACCGAAATGGTTTCTAAATACGAAAACTGCCTTAGAACCAGTAAAGTGATGTTACTAATATTGTTGCTGCTGCTGTTGGTGGTGAACAGCTGTTATTATTATTTCGTGCGGACCTGCGTTATCTCAATGCAGAATATGGGAAGCGACATCTAAATAGAAATTTGTTTCCGTTACTCATTCAGCGTTGGAAAAGTAACCTGTGGAACGTTACAGCAAAAGCTCAAATCTCTGAGCACGTCTGTGTAAACCTACGGGAGCCATTTTACACAGGAGGCTGGGGGGGAAAAGGGGCAAGAGAGAGAGAGAAAAACAGAGAGGAGAGAGAGAGAGCGAGAGCGAGAAAGAGCAGGTATGTGTGTTAGTAACGTGTGATGTCAGTTTTGGCAGACTAGCTGTGTGTTTTGTATCTCTCTGCATAGGGACTCTAAGAGGGATTCCCCTACATCTTGGGGTGTGTCGCGCTGGATCCCTGCACAAGGGCCAGCGAACCCCTCCCCTCCCGCTGCTGACTGTGGGTGTGCCCCAGGGTCAAGAAGACAGAATAAAACCCACCGGTGCTCGGCTCACACTCCTCCAGGTCTTCGTCGTCACTCGGGCACTCGGCCGAAGCCACAAGGAGATCGTCTGTGTTCTACAGAGAAGGAAACAGGAGATCCAGTTGTCAGGGGTGTGTGTGTGTGTGTGTGACAAAATACACCATGGAGACACCCACTTCTGAACCCTTCCCACTCTACACCCCCCCAATCTCCACTACAAACATACCCCTTTGGGTGCAATAATTAAGTTGGCAGCTATTATTTTATTTCACTTCCAAAAATCTTTATATTTGCTTCTCCCCCTCACCTGGACACAAACGTCTGTCCCCCCTCCCATCAGCTTCAGCAACCCAGAACATAATGCCTCAGATGAAGGGCAAAGCAGGCATTTCCAAAAAGCTTGAGGAAATGAGCCATAAAGGAAGGCCAACATTATCCACACACATTAAGTCCTTTTCACTAAAACTGGGAGCACTCCAGATATTGAACTACAAGCACCATCAGCCCCAGCACCCATGTAGTCTGGTTACGGTGGGGTTTGAATCACTGATGACCTTGAGGGGTACTTAGATTTGGGAAGAATACCTTTGCCTTTAAAACACAGGATTCCGAGAAACCAGGAATCACATTTCTGAGAATTATCAAAACAACTTGGGTCTTGCCGAGGACAACTTTGATTGAGGGGCTTCCTATAAGGGCACTTAAAGAGACTGTATGGTGTAGTGGTTTGTGATGGGCTGCGATGCCACCTTATTCTATGATTTGCCATTTCTACCTTGCAGGGTTGCAGGGAAGACAAAACAAAGGAGGAAGAGGAGAACTCACAAGAGGAAATATAGACTATAAAAGTTACATGCATGCATCCAGAGAGATGAGTACGCATTTAGCGAAGGCCTGTAAAAAACCACGCGGTGGTGATGGTGGTAGAGAAACATCTTAACAGTTTACAGTGGTGTCTTGCATAGCGATGATAATCGGTGCAGCAAAAATCGCTGCAAAGCGATTTCGTCGCTATGTGATATTAAAAAGCCCATAGTAATGCATTGAAACCCCTTCAATGCGTTCCTATGGGCTTCAGCCTCACCTTTAAACGAAAATCCTCCATACGGTGGCCATTTTTGCTTCCCAGTAAGCGAGGAATCCGTCCCAGAAAACAGTGGGCAGCCATTTTTTTAACACTGCAGCCATTTTGGAATCGCCGATCAGATGTTAAAAAATCATAGCTTTGCAATGATCGGTAAGCGAAACAGGGTACCGATCATTGCAAAGCGATTTCCCCCCATTGAAAACATTGCAAAGCAATCGCTTTTGCGATCGCAAAATCTTCATTGCTATGCAATTTCGTCATTAAACGTTAAGCAAGGCACCACTGTATTTTAAATTGCAATCAACCACTTGGGGTTGATTTTGTGTTTCAGGTGGCAGGACGGGCACAACCGTAGTGCGTGCAAACTAGACTATTAAGAGCATAAGGTGAAGCTGTTTTGGGGGATTTTGATCTTGTCTTTTCTCTCCCAGTGGGCCACTGCAGGAGGCTAGCTTTTAGTCTGACTCCGCAGCTGGATGGTCATGCCTCCAGGTCTTCCCCAAGGCAGACATACTAGAGGAGAACGTTTTCACCGAGGTGTCCGAGCTGATTTCCCAGCAAGTGCCAGGTATCGCTTCCATTTGCACAGTGTTGCCCCCACCAAAACACCAGGGATGAGGAGGGAGGAGACTGGAAAGAACCAGTGAGGTTGAAGCATTCAGAGCCACGCATGTGCTTTGGCTCGTTGAAGCATTCGGAGCCACGCAGAGTGGATCACCAGCATCTTGACTCATGAGCCTTTCTTGCTGCCCAAGGCCTGCCAAAAGATAGAATCACAGAATAGTGGGGTTGGGAGGGGCCTCTAAGGTTATTGAATCGAACCCCCTGCTCGGTGTAGGAACCCCAATGAAAACAGATCTGACAAAGGGTTGTTCAATTTTGTTGTAAGCCACCCAGAGACCTTTGGGTAGAGTGGGCGGCATATAAGTTAAATAAAATAAATAAATAAGTAAAATTTCTCTTGAATGCTTCCAGTGCTGGAGCGCTCACCACCTCTCGAGGTCATTGATTCCATTGCCGTACTGCTCTTACAGTTAAGAGGTTTTTCTTGATATTCAGCCTAAATCTGGCTTCCTGTAGCCACTGTGATGTGTCCTGCACTCTGGGATGATCGAGAACAGATCCTGCCCCTCCTCTGTAGCACTACCTTTCAAGCATGTGAAAAGGACTCTCCTATCTCCCTTCAGTCTTCTTTCCTCAAGGCTAAATATGCCAAGTTCTTTCCGCCTTTCTTCCTAGGGCTTGCCTTGCAGTCCCCTGATCATCCTTGTCGCCCTCCTCTGAACTTGCTCCAGTTGGTTGGCATCCTTCTTCACGTGTGATTGTCCAGGAACTGTAGTGGAAGGCTTGGAAAAACCCTCCATAGGTGTCACGTGCGGTGTAAGAATGACCACACGGATTATGAGCCTGCCCTCGCAGTAAACGCTGCGTTGCTAGACGCATTTCACAAACTCAGCCATTAAACGAATGAAAGCACGCAAGCAAACAAACCCAACAGGAGCATTTTGCCCCATTTTAGTTTGCTATATTAACAAATAAGCTGGGTTGTACCCTGATGTCCCTGCTACAATCAGCTGCCTGCCCCCATTTCTCTGACATCACAAGGGGCTGCCCCTTCGTTTCAGGTAATGGGATACTCCTATCCTGGAAACCCCTACCTCCGAGACTGGGGCTGTACACTATGATTGTAGACATATGTATGCATATATGTACAATTTGCTCCAAATATCATCCAGCAGCTATTCCGAGCTGTATCGGAGAGAAAGAAAAGGTCACGAGCACCCTGTTAGCTCAGCTGATTACAGCAACAGTGTTTTGCTCCTTGCTTTCCTGCTCAGCTTCTCTTCCAAGTCAGTGGTCCCCAACCTTGGACCTCTGGATGTTCTTGGACTACAACTCCCAGAAGTCTTCACCACCACCTCTGCTGGCCAGGATTTCTGGGAGTTGAAGTCCAAGAACATCTGGAGGCCCCACGGTTGGGGAACCACTGTTCTAAGTGATCATATTGAGAAGACCACGGACGTCTGGCCATGGCTGTAGCCATTACAGGGGTCTGATTACGTTAAGAACGTCTGCCTGCCTTGCTTCCTTTCCTTTTCTCCTGTCTGCTCCCCTTGACTTTTGTGTCATTTTTTTTTAAAATTCAGAAGACCAAACTGAGAGGCTCTTTTCCGTTGACTGCCAGCCCTCCGGGATTCTTCTCCACCAAGACTCTCCAACAGGGTTTATGCAAAAAGAAGGCTCAGGAGCTCCACTCCGTGCCTTGATCCTTGTGGCAATATCCAGTCCCCCCCCCTTATCCTCACTCCTGGCTTTTTGCTGTGCTGATTTCATGGCAGTACAACAGGAGAACACTGGGTCATTGGACCAGGACGCAACAGGCAACAGTGCATCCACCCTTGCCAGCAAAAAAACCCCCAGACTTTCTCCTCCACCAGCACCGCTGAGCCGGAGATCTCTCTCTGCACCTGGAGGCGAAGGGAAGCACCACAACTCTCCGAAACGCCTGCTGGCGCCCTGACGCTGGCAACCCGAGAGTGGGCAAAATGCTATAAATGAATGAATGAATACAAAGAGACAATTCATCCACCATCCGCTACCACACATGTTTACTAATATTTGGATCGAAGGGTGGGGGGAAGAGTGCCTGGTTTTGTCACTATTTTAACATTTAGCAAAACTCAATGGGAAATTAACATGACAGACAGATCCAGCCGGTCCTTCTGCTGGTTGCCAAGCAGCTTCTACCCACAGTGGCACAGCAGTACCATTACATAAACCTTACTGAGGGCTCAGTCCCCACCGGAACTGGGGCTAGCCTCTGTCCGAAGACCACTCACATACCTCCTGCCTAGGGTTGAGTCTGGCCCCATAAAGAGCAGGTGCTGAGCATGGTCTGGGCGCCATCCACACACTCCCCTGAGGCTGGATCCAAACGCAGAACGGCTTAAGCCAGAGAACAAGATGGTGCCAGGAAGAAATGCCAGCTGGCAGCTGGGCTTTTAAACACTGGCAATGAGGCAGCATCCTCCATCGTATGTGAAAGGTAGCAGGCTACTGTCCACTGCTTACTTCCTCTGGGACATACACACAATGCCACGCAAGGTTGGCACTACTTCTGCCTCGCAGTAGGGCCAGCCCTGTACCCAGGGTTTGAGTTCTAGGCTCTCTGCCTGCCTGCTTCCACATCTAGATCTAGAGATCTATTATACTTGATCTCAGCCAGAAAGGCCAAGAAGCAAGCGATGCTCAAGCATCGCCAAATTCCTCGGCAACTTTGACGACTAGACGGAAGGGAGGTGAAATAACAGGTGAATGAACAGAGACTTAATCCAGAAGTGTCTCCTGGTCAGTTGAAAGGCCCATCAAGGAATAAGGATGCAGCCTGTGCTGGATGGGGTTGCGTCCCCTCTGAAAAGACAGGCCCACAGCTTGGGGGGGGGGGTAATGCCCCTCCTGGATTCCTCTCTGAGCCTGGAGGCCCAGGTTTCGGTGGTGGCCAGGAGCCCCTTTGCACAGTTAAAACTAGTGTGCCATGACAGGCGCACAGCTTGGGGGGTAATGCCCCTCCTGGATTCGTCTCTGAGCCTGGAGGCCCAGGATTCGGTAGTGGCCAGGAGCGCCTCTGCACAGTTTAAACTAGTGTGCCATCTCGTCTGGCGACACTGACACATGACTTATTTACATCCCGCCTGGATTACTGTAACACGCTCTACATTGGGCTGCCTCTGGAAAGTGTCAGGAAGCGTCTGGCGACCCTGACACATGACTTATTTACATTCCACCTGGATTACTGTAACACGCTCTACGTTGGGCTGCCTCTGGAAAGTGTCAGGAAGCTTCAGCGGGTCCAAAACGCAGCAGCCCAGATGGCAAAGAGGGGCTGGCCACAGGGATCACACAATCCCTCTGCGACAACAGCTCCGCTGGCTGGCAATCCACTTCCGGGCGGAATCCAATGTGTTGGTTCTAACCTATAAAGCCCTAAATGGCTTGGGGTCCAAGCTA